AGGAAGGAAGGAAGGAAGGAAGGAAGGAAGGAAGGAAGGAAAGCTAAGAATAATAAAAACGACCAGGAGGTGAAAGATGAGAGGAAAACCCCACAGTTTGTCTCCAAAAATTTACAGCGAGGCGCCTCCTTGGAGAAGAAGGAAAGCCCGAGAGGGCAAGAGTGAGAGCCACCGTTCGTTAACCTGCGGCGCAAATGAAGGAGAATTGAGGGGGAGGGGCGCAAACGAGAACAACCGTCCGATTCAAGAGCGCTCAGCAAAAGTTTGAGGGACCTTCCTAATTTAGGAAAGACTCCCCGCCGCCGTCCTCGGGGTTTTCTTCTTTCCTTTTGGCTGGAGGCGGCCGGAGCGCAGGACAGGTGACTGTTTGCCCTGAGAGAGGAAAGTCTCCCCCGCGGTCCAACCGGGGACAGGTCCCCTTGGTGGCTCCCATAGGAGCCTCTCCTCTCCCCGCAGCCCCTCGGCGGAGGCCCGCGGGCGGAGAGAGCCCCGTTGGGGCTGACTTACCTGGGTTCCTGCCGAAGGCGCAGGGCTCAGCGGGGGCCGCTTTCTCCCCGCGGGCGCGCTCCAGCAGCATGGCGCTGAGCTGCCCGGGGTCGGAGGAAGAGAGAGCTCGGCCGGACGACGGAACAGAAGACCACCCTCCCCCGCCCCGCCCCAGCCTTGGCCCTTGGCTGGCAGCTCCGGGAGCCTCCAACCGGAATGCAAGAGAGCAGGTCGGGTGGCTGGCAAGGGGTTGGAGGGGGAGTGGCCGCGGGGGACGCGGTGGGTGGAGGGACAAGGCGGCGAGGGAGTCCCCCCCCTACCAACTGCCCGGCGTCACTTCAACCGCCCCCCCTCTCCGTCGCTCCTCCTGTTGCCCCGCCCGGCTCAGGGAACAAAACTAAGGCGGACGGGGCAACGCGTAGCAGAGGGGAGCTGTCCGCGGTGCTGAAGAGACATCCCGTTATTCAGTCCCGCAAGCAGCAAAGACTTTGGATTGGTTACAACTCCTGAAGCCAACAAGCAAGCCCTCAATTTTAACTTTGCCCGGGTTCTTAACCCTGTTAGGCAGACACAGAGAATAAATGAGTTGGAAGGGACCTTGGAGGTCTTCTAGGCCAACCCCATGCAAGCAGGAAATTCTACACCATTCTGAACGAATGGTTGTCCAAGTCTCTTTTCGAAAGCCTCCAGTGAAGCCACATCTGGAGGAATAGAGATGTACATAGGCAGACAAGCCACACATGGTGTCTGCATTTAACAAGGGTTGCGATGTACAGATAGTCCTTGACTTACGACCACAGTGGAGCCCAAAATTTCTGTTGACATTTGTTAAGTGAGTTTTGCCCCATTTTACGACCTTTCTTCCCACAGTTGAATCATTGCAGTTGACAAATTAATAACCCAGTTGTTAAAATGAATCTAGCTTTCCCATTGCCTTTATCAAAAAGTTGCCAAAGATGGTCGCAGCAATGGTCATAAATATGAACCAATCGCCAAGCACCTGAATTTTAATCACGGGATCATGGGGATGCTGGAAAGGTCGTAAGTTTGAAAAACGGCCCTAAGTCAAATTTTTCAGTGCCACTGCAACTTTGAACGGTCATTAAATGAACTGTTGCAAGTCCAGGACTACCTGTGCTTATTTACTGCATTAATTTATATGGCAATTTTAATTTTAATTTACATGGTACGTTTATTTCCTTCCCCTCCCTTGACAGTGTCAAGGGGGCTGAATTGGTTCTCATTACTAGAGTTAAGTAGATGCCCCGTTGTTTTTTTTCCACAAATACCCCAGCCCGCCTCTTGCTGCACCACTAAAGGCAAAGCATTTCCGAAATGACAAGGAAATCCGCCGAAAAGAGGCAGGAGCTGGGATTTGGAACGTTTTATTGGCAAATCTTAAAAATGAATCTTAAAAAGGAGAAAACTGGAGGAGGAGGAGGAGAAGGAGAAGAGAAGGCACAAAGATGGAAGGGACTGAGGGATGAATTTAATATTGTAGAAGTCTGGAGATGCTCAGATTCCTAACCTGTTGCTTGCTTGCTCCAACTTGAGGAACGAAGCGAAGCAAGCAACGGATCGGAGCATCTCTGACAGCCTCCCCAGCCATCTGGAGTTCAGCCTTAGAGGATGGAGACCTCACCACACTGAAGGATCTATCTCCTGCCATTTCCCTTTCCATTCTTTATTCTTCCTTCTTGGGTCTTGGGGGGGGGGGGGGGGGGGGGAAGAGGCACCTGTCCTGGAAGCTACAGGATGAGGCTGTCCCTCGCTTGGATCCTGACCCCCCCCCCCATGCCTGGCCTTGCGGAGTCCCCACTGGCCCAGTCCTTCCAACTGCAGCAATCCAGAAGGAAGCTGACTGAAGACTCCCGCAATCTTTCTCCTGGGGGGGCTTCCTCCCTTTGACCCCTCCACCCTGTTCCTCTCACTATCCGGAACTGGGCTGCTGAGTGCAGACAGGAGAAGCTCCCAGAGGAGGCTAAACCAGGAGGTTGGTCTAGAAGGCCTCCCAGGTCCCTTCCAGTCCTATTGTTTTATGTTCTATGTTCCTTCCATTGTGGCTCAACTCAAACTGTTGTGATAAGAGCAGCAGCTCTAAGAGGGGCTGGGAATTATGGGAAATGTAACCTGGCAATCTGTTGCATGACCATTAGATGGCAGCCTAGAACTTGCTTTTTCTGATCTCTTTGTCTCCATCTAGTCCAGGGGTCTCAAACACAATTTACCTGGGGGCCGCTGGAGGCAGAGGCTGGGTGAGGCTGGGCCGCACATAGAAGTGTTTAGCCAGCTAGCGACGCATGGAGAACGCACTAATTTTATACTTTCATATCACGGTGGGGGCCACAGGATATCGTCCCGTGGGCCGCAATTGGCCCGCGGGCCGCGAGAATGAGACCTCTGATCTAGTCAATCAGAATAGAGTTGGAAAGGGACCTTGGAAATCTAGTCCAGCTTAGAGTCCTCTGTGAATTTGATGAGTTCCCCTTCTATTCCCTCATCTTAAGTCATCTATGAAGATCTTGAAGAGTACTGGGCCCTTGTGGTACCCCACTGCTTACATCCCTCCTTGTAGATGTCACACAAGCTCTTTCCAATCCTCCGGTAGTTCCCCCATGCTCCAGAATGTTTTTTAAATATACGATACAATGGTTCTGAGATAACATCTGCCAGCTCCTTCAGAACTCTGGGATGTAATCCATCAGGTCCCGGTGATTTATAATTCATCAAGATCAGACAGGTGTTCTCTTTACCATTTTCTTGTTTATTTTAATTTTTATTTCTAGCCTGTCTTTCACAATTGTTTTTGGTAGGTTGGGCTACACTTTCTTTTTGTGCGAAGACTGATGCAAAGAATGAGTTAAGCAGCTCTGCTTTCTCTCTACTGCCTCCTTTCTTGCCATCTTCTCTCTTTAGTGGACTGAATGTTTCCTTGACTTTTTTTCTTGTTATTTTTATGTTGAAACTTTTTAAAATTATCTTTTGACTTTCGTTGCAAGTCTTTGTTCATTTTGAGACTTTGCTTTCCTGACTTCCATTTTTGCAGATTCAGGCTATCTGGTGAGATTCTGCCTTAATGATGTGTCCCTCTTTCCCCTTTTTGTACTGATTTTTATCTTTCAGTTCATCATAAAAAAAATTGTGCAACCTTGTTGGTTTCTTGTTAGATTTCTTGTGTTTCTTTTTCAGCGGTATTGTGTTGGACTGGGCTTTTATGATCATATTTCTCAAGAGTTTCCAATGCTTCTTGAGTTGTCTTCTTGTTTAGGATTTTTATCCATGGAATTTTTCTTAGGCTGTCACTGAGTTTGTTGAAAGTAACTCTTTTAAAATTTAAGACACTGGTTGGATTATATTCTAGAGTGGTCCTCTAAATGTTTGCACCCAAATTTGGTTGCTGTTATAAGCACCTGTTTAACACCCTCCAAGCACCCTGATTTTCATGAACGATTTCATAAACCGAAGCACACTAGGCAACCCAAGGAAAAAGATCACCAGAAACCGTTTTAATGTTTCTTCAGAAAAACACCTTTTTCTACACTGTTCTAAATTCAAAGTGTCCAGCAGCAGAGAAGAAGATCATCAGTGAATGAGGATGAGGAACAATGGCACAGTTTCGTGAAATGTAAAACATTGCGCTGTAAAAAGAATTAAAAAAAAAATATCCCTGATTCCCTGCTAGCCAAGTTGCAGGCAAGCACAAGGGAGACGTTTCGAGTCTGAAACTTGGATTTCCGATGGATCTGCTATACGTAGGGACAGTTGTGTCTCACTTTCCAGCACTTGGATCTCACGTGGAAGAAAAAGAACATGATCATTAGAAATAAAGACGAAGCTATGTAGAGGATGATGCAGAGGCTCATGTCGATGTTGGAGAAGCCGACTCCCAAGAACGACAACGCCTGGTTCCCTTCCTGCTCGACCACTGAGCCAGCTGGCCTTTTCCCTGGATCGATTACAGAGTCCTCCTTGGCTATCAGATGGCCCAAGCCTTTGGACTTGGCTCCCAAGGACTCCTGTGGATCTTGGCCCTTGTTGGCCTCCCGAGCGGCTTCCTTTGGAAACGCTTCTCCTCCACCTTGGGCCTCTTGTTCTTCGGTGTTGTCGGCTTCTTTGAGGTAGGTGTGGATGAGGTTGTGGCTGCCATAATGCTGTTTCAGGAAGTGGAGCACTTGCGTCTTGTCCCAGGCAGAGGGGCCCTGGGTCGCCTTGTGGCATGCGGGGCAAAGGGCCGGGGTGGGCCACTGCACTTTGGGGAACTGGGGGTCTTCGCTCAAATCGCCTGTCGGAGGAAGAAGAGGAAGGGGAGACAGGAAACACCAGGAGTTGCGTTAGTTTAGGAGCAAAGGATTTATTTATTTACCAAACTTGTGTGCCACCCATCTTGCCAAAGGTGACTCTGGGTGGCCTACACAGTACAAAACATGAAAACAATGAATAAGGATCTTAGATTTTAAAAGTTCAACTAATATAAAACTAAGTGGGATGCAGAGGGAGGGAGCAAAATGAGGAGTAGGTGGGATATTCTCTACTAATGTCAACTCATAAAACATTTGGTATACACATTTTATAGTTGTCAACAGAAAGAGGGGAGGGAGTTTCGAAGAGCAGGCGGCAGTGTGGAATCGAAAGTACATTCCATTCATATTGTCTTCAAAGACTGATTAGATGACTGAAGCTTCAATTCAATAAACCTTGCAGGGATCAAGACTGATTGGAAGACAGACTCCCCTCCCTCGCCCCAGTTACCAACCCAGGAAAAAAGCCATCCACAGTGCCAAGTCCTCCCTTGGAAACTACCTGCCAGTCGGGCGTTGACCACGTTGTGCTTCTCCCACAGCCACAGCACAGCTTCATCCCGGCTCTTCACGGAATCCAAAGACGCTCTGGCCATCTCCCGGAAGTGCTCCGCGCAAGCTCGGCAGCCAAAGAAATCCTGGACGTACTTCTGCATGATCTGAAGAACCGCCCGGGGATTGTCTTCAAAGCCTGCAAGGAGCAACCGGCGTGTGAAATCAACAGAGTCTGTGGATCACAGCAAGGGAGGAGCCGATTTCTTGCTCAATTTTCCCTTTCGATCCACTTACTTGTTCCTAAGATATATCACTTATCTTAGTGGAACTGTGATCTTAAGGCCAAGGGGGGGGGGGGGAGGACAACACATTTATTCCAAACTTTCTGGGCAGAATCTTGCCTCCGAATTCTCAATAATTATAAGGAAAGATACGATTGTTGTGTGTGTTTAGTTTATTAGCCCCCTGTACTTTGTAAACAGATGTCATGTCTCTTGACCTAATCCTCCTTCCTTTCTCTTTTCCCTCCCGCAAAACTGCCTCAATGCTGGATCCTTCTAATCTTTAAAATGGGCAAGAACCATAAAACTCCACCTTTGGCTGGGAGGATTAGGGGCTCTCTAGGAGACGGGAATTAAAGCAAGCAATAAGAAGGGGAAACCCTCAAAGACATAATCCTGCTGCTTCGGCCTGACCCAATTCCCCTCTTACAAGAAAATGGCCATTATCAAAACCAGACCGGTGGAGAAGGGGCGCCTGGCCGTTACACTGAGCTTGGAAAATGGGTTGAAATGTTCTCAACCTGCTCCCAGATAAGAAAACCTGGGTAAGAATAACCAAATTCAAACCATCTTCCAGCTGCAGCTCCCAGCTGGCGATTCTTCTTCCACCAGGACATTAGGGGAGATCCTCTTTACTTTGAAAGCCATAAACAGGAGGAGGTTGGTCGTGGTCAGAAAAAAAGGATTTCAAAGATTTCATACTTCAATGCTCACAACCTTGGTATAGCCTCTGGATTCCCAAGATATTACTCATACGTTTTCTGAAGAGGAGAATCTCTATTATTTGCAAAATATAAAGGAACTAGACGTTTTGAATTAAACCTATCTATGTTCTAGGAGGACTTTGATTCATGCAACCTTTAATTAAGTGAAACTGCATCATAATGGAACAATCTTCACTCTGTGCCTAAGGATATTTACCCAGGTAGTAGGGCTGTATTGCTATGATATGTCTCATCTTTCCTATTACCTTCTCCTGTTGTTATCTTATGATTTATCACTTTGTTGTTTGTATCTTATGACATATGATTGTATCTTATGATGTATGATTTATCACTTCATTGCGCACCGAGAGCTTCTGCACCAGAGACAAATTCCTTGGGTGTCCAATCACACTTGGCCAATGAAGAATATTCTATTCTATTCTAAATTTTTGTACCAAGGTATCCCAAGCGGGCTAACTTACAGAATACATCCAAAATTCGGGGCTTGTGACTCCTGTGGAACTGATATCTGGCAAATTTTATAAAACATTCTATGAGATCAAAAATGATCACGTGTCACATTTTGTGGCACAATTCAAAATGTCATAAAACAATTCTTTTTCCTTGACTGTGCTGTGCAGTTCAACATGGGCTATTTTCAAAGCAGATATATATCTTAATATCTCCTGATTTTTCCACCCCCCAGTACATTAGAAGCTCTGTCATTGCTGAAGGCGTTGAGAAATCTGGAAAACCGCTATCATGTCACCCCTGGCGAAAGCTGAATTGTTTTGCTTGGCCAATATTAAAGCAGTTGGGGTGCCCTTTAAGTTCCCGCCTCCCTGCCAACCACTCTTCACCTGCAGGGGCATTCACCCTCTTTTTTCCTTACCTGTGTTGAGCAAAGCTCTCGGCTGGGCTGCTGCTTGAACTGTTAAGGTGTGGAAGAGCTTCCAGAAGGAACAGGTGTAACCTCTCAGTCCCACCTGGCTGCCCTGACACCCGACCCACTGGAGCCGGCTGGGCAGAAATTGGCCAGAGATCTAGAAAGGGGGAAAAGACCAGCATGAGACTGCACTTCCTTCCACGCACTCCGTCAGGTGAGTCAGGCAGAAATCTATTGTGGTCCAGCTGACACTCAGGGGGAGGATTTTAGAAGTTCCTGTCCTAGATTAACATCTTGAGGGATTCATCTAACTTTTAACAGAAGGGGAAGAAGACACAGGATGGCCTTAAATGCAAGCCAGCTGCCAAGCACCCAAGATGCAATCATGAGTGTGTGTGTGAGAACTCCAAGGACAGGTCGTAAAAATGGCCACTGTAACTTTGAATGGTCCTCAAGAAACTGGTTATGTCGAAGACTACCTATAATTCTACTCTCCTCCTTCTCTTCCTCCATACCTTTTCTTCCTTCTTTCCTCTCTCTCTTCCTTATTTTTTTCTTTCCCACCCTACTTTCCTCTTTCTTTCTTTCTTTCTTTCTTTCTTTCTTTCTTTCTTTCTTTCTTTCTTTCTTTCTTTCTTTCTTTTCTTTCTTTCTTTCTTTTTCTTTCCTTCCTTCCTTCCTTCCTTCCTTCCTCTTTCTTTCTTTCTTTCTTTTCTTTCTTTCTTTTCCTTCCTTTCCTCCTCCTGCTGCTGCTGCTGTTTTTCCCCTTCTTTCATTTACTAAATCTATGTCTCCAACCAACAACCTAGTAGTAGCTTACATGAATTTTGTTGTTGAGCAGGTCCAAGATGGCATCGTAGGGGATCCGGTCCAACGGGAGGCTCAGCAGCCACACCTGTAAGGTCTCCAGCGACTTCATCACAGGTTGACGGCCAGGAAAGAGCTGAAGAAAAGGCCGAGTTAGTTGACATGTCTTTCAAGGAATCTGAGCTGTTGTATCTGACCCTTTTTTCCTTCCCCTGAAGCCACCAGGGGCACAGGTGGTAGCGGTGAAACAACAAAAAGGCAACACAACCAGCTTTCATGAACCATCAGGGACCGAAAGCTGCAACTAAAGTCAACTTGAGAAACTGAAGTCCAGCTATTCCGTTTCTGTTTAAAACGGATCAGCTGCAGAGGGTCCCACGCGGAGCCATTTCTTTGTGCAACAGGCCAAGAAAGCAGCAGATTATCTTGTTTTAGTGCTAGGTTGGCTGTTAGATTCAATAACTTATGTGAGCTGACCGGGGGTGGGTGGGTGATTATTTATTTACTTATGTGTGTTTTTGAAATCTCACCTTTATTTTTATAAATAAATCAAGGGGGTGAACATACATAGAATAACAGAGTTGGAAGGGACCTAGGAGATCTCTACTCAAGCAAAAGACTCTATACTACTTCAGACAAATGGCTGTCCTTGTCTTAAAAGCCTCCAGCAAAGCCTTTCCACTGGTTCATTGTCTTCACCATTAGGAAATGTCTCTTTAGTTCTAGATTGCTTCCCTCCTTGATTAGTTTCCATCCATTTCTAACACTCCTTCCTCCTCTTCATTTCTCCACAATAGCAACCCTGTGAAATGGGTTGGTTTGGGAGAGAGAGAACGGCCTGAAGCCACCCAGCCAGCTTTCATGCCTAAGGCAGGACCAGAACTCCAGGTCTCCTGGTTTCTAGCCTTAACCACTACATTAGATTAAATTGGCTCTGTTTGGAAACAGCTGTCCAGCCTTCCAGGATAGCGAATTTCTGTCTACGGGATAAAATGTTTGTTTCTTGCAATCAAAGCTGCAGCTTCCCTATACCGCTGCGCAAACTCTTGTTCTAATTCAGCTTTTTCATAGCATTCCCTTCTCAACTAAAAACAAAATCCTCTCCATCAAATATTTTTATCCCCATATGCTGCCAAACAACCAATCTGCCTATTTATCATTATTGACTTATCTGATTTATATCTTATATTTCCATCCAAGCAGGATGATCCAGAGGCTTTCCAAATGCAGGAGATACACAAACGGAACTAAAAATAGCGCAGTTAAACACCTGTTAACAAGAGCCCAGTTTTAAAAGGTCCGGCTGCGAAGGCCTCGTTTAAACCCCTTTTCCAGACACAGAGGGAGCCACAGGGCCACTTTCTGATGAGGCAGGTTCTGCATCTTGGAAACCATGTCCAAGTGGGGTGATTTTCAGTCAATATTCAAGTCTTATCAAGTCAGGAGTCTTAAGGTGAAAACCAATGTTCTCAACTTGGCGTTTCTCAATCTTGGCAACTTTTTAAGAGGAATGGATTTCAATTCCCAGGTATTTATACGGTGCCTGGTTGTGGCACCATATAAACACCACATATAGAATAGCCCAAAGCACACACTCTGCTAGAAGCTGCCCGAGGATGGGCTCCAGCGGCAGTCCAAAAGCTCGGAAGAGTAAAACATCCAGTCCCGGTGATCGGACCATTACCAATCTCCTTGGCACAGACTAGTTCTCAAAGGGCTGTAAAAATTGCACACGGAAAGGCAGCAGTGAAGTCCTGGCTCTAACTGGGCCTTTCTGCATGGGCTATTTGGCCTCCAAACAGGAATCCCGCCTTCTCCTTCCCCATCAATGCATCAAACATCCATTTTATCAGGCAAGAGTCCTGGAGCATGAGAAGAGCTCCTGCTCAGCGTGATTTACTGCACGCTGCAAAATCCCAGGAAAAAGGCGGAGAGCGTTCACCTTGGCCAGGAGTATAACAACATCTTTCAAGGTCCTCAGCTCAGCGCCTTCCAGGGTTTTGTGGGTGGCAAGTTCGACCCTGAACAAATAATGCAGCCCAGACTCAAGGTCAGCCATGTATAATTTGGACCTGAAAAAGCAAGAGACACGGGTGGTTTAAAATGGCGGCAGGTTTATTTTGCGTACACGAGTGTGGAAGGTAGGAATACTAAAGAGACGGAGTTTTTAAACATGAGATTTATCTTGAGCCGTTGGAGCAGTTATTAGGCCACTGTTGGTAGCCAGGATGGGCCAGATTTACATCTGGGCAGGGATCCCTCCCTGTTTGCAGAGACAATTATGATGATTAGAAATCTGCATGCATATGGATGGTACAAAGCTGAGGTTTCAGCCTTTAAAAGCAGGGATTCCCAACCTCAGCAATTTAAGCTATGTGTTCTGGAGAGGTCCACCTGCCCTCCCAAAGGCAGCCCAGATAACGTAAAACCATCATTTACTCTGAATCCATACATTCAGGAGCGGGAGAAAAGCCAACATTGCAAAATAAAACGCTATTTAAAGAGAACTTGCAGAGCTGCTTACTGGTTGAACTCTTTCCATTCCTTGAAGTTTGTGTTTCCTGGTCTCCTTTGCTGGAGAAGTGGGAGAGGGGAAGCGAGTTTTCTTCTAACTCCCAGGAGTGACTTTAAATGGGAAGAAAAGAAAGACCGAAGAGGCTTCAAACTGTGTATGGAAGGACAGTATAAAAGTTAAAAAAAAAAAAAAAACACCTCAAGCTGAACAGGCTACAGAAGTTCAGGGCTGCTGCTGGTTGCTTGTTCCCCCAAAAATGCTAGATACAGGGAGCCCTCAACTTTAACAAGCATTCGCTGTGTGTCCTTTCGAAGTTACAACGGCACTGAAAAAAGTGGTTGCGTTTCGCACACTTATGACGGTTGCAACATCCCCACGACTGTGCAATCCAATTTTGCACGCTTGGCAATTGGTTCATATTTATGACGGCCGCAGTGTCCTGGGGTCAGGTGATCCCCTTTTGTGACCTCCTGACAAACAACGTCAATGGGGGGAAGCCAGATTCGCTTAACAACCATGTGACTAACTTAACAGCTGCAGGGATTCCCTTAACCACTGCGGCAAGAAAGGTCGTAAAATAGCGCAAAGCTCACTTAACCATTGCCTCGCTTAGCAGCAGAAATGTTGAGTTCAGTCGTGGTTGTAAGTCAAGGACTGGCAACAGCAATAGCACTTGGACTTATACACCGCTTCACAGTGCTTTCCAGCCCTCTCTAAGTGGTTTACAGAGTCAGCCTCTTGCCCCCCAATAATTTGGATCCTCATGGAAGGATGGAGGGCTGAGTCAATCTTGAGCCAGTCAGGATTTGAACTCCTGGCAATGGGCAGTCAGCCTGCAATGCTGCACTCTAACCACTGCACCACCAGGGCTCCCCTATCTATTGCAAGTACTAACTGTGCTTGTCAAGGCAAGAGACTTAAAGCTGGTGCCCTCACACCCTCTAGATAAGAGCTGGCCTACTTGAATATTTATTTGGCCCTCTGCGATACAGGTAGCTAAAGAGCTCCGTGTTATCATCTCTGTGTTTTCTTTGGCAAACTGCTCAGGTAACTCCACCAAATTCCAAGCCACCAGGGTCACCCAGTCATTATTGCAACATGTTCTTGCCCCAATTGTACTTGATTAAGTATTCTGACCATCTTGCATAGACCAGGAACTAGCAAAATAGTTACTGGCATGTCCACAGCAACCCCCAGCCCAACTGTCACTGCAGCTACTGCAGCCCACAATTTTTTTTAAAAAAAAACCAAACAGGCTTTTAAATGGAATCTAAAATCTCACGTGCAAATGCTAAAACCCCGGAATGGGTTTTTATTATTTCTGGAGCTACTAAAGAAGATCCTAAAATTACTTTCACATAATAGTTTCTCAACTTTGGGGCGGACGTCAACACCCAGGATACTCCAGCCAGCATTCTGGGAGTTGAAGTCTGCCCGTTCTGGCTTTTAAGGTTTACGAAATGCAGGTCCCACAAACTCACATTCATCAAGACTTACTTGTTAATTAATCCATGGGATCCATTGGGATAAATCAGGTACAATGAAGGGACTGAAGTAATACCAAGTTTTTCAAGTACATCTGTCTCAGAATTTAGAACCCGTTTGATGGCAATGTTTTCATACTGACCGAGGTCCAAGATTACCTGGAGGGGAAAATGTACAGAGTTACCAGTGCCGCCTGTGTGTTTAGTCACTACTGCAAACAGAGGCAAAGTTTGCTCAGACCTAACAAACAGGTTGAACCCAGCCTCACAAAGATTGGCACTTGGAGACCAGGAGAAAAAAAAAAAAATGAAGAGCCCTCACAGGCTTAACTGGGGGATAATTCCACTACATTTAAATAGGATTTGTTTGTAAATAACGGCCTAGGCCTGCAGTGTTTTGCTGCCGATATTACTTTTGGCAAAATGATTAAGATGCGTTGGAAGTTGAAGTCTGCAAGCAGCCAAGGTTGGACACCCTGGTACAGGGTCTCCTGCTTGAGCAGGGAGCTGGACTAGAAGACCTCCAAGGTCCCTTCCAACTCTGGTATTTTGTATCCTTCTTCTGAACAACTTCAGAGTCTGAATGAAGTTGGCCATAAAACAAATTAGTTTGTATTTCCTTCCATGCTTACTGTGATGATGACCCAGGGTGGGATACAAAAACAACACAGGCACAAAAACAGGTGAAGTCCCTTTAATTCCTTCAGCTTGGCTTCAAAGCTCCAAATATCCTTGACTGGAGACAAAAAAAACTCCCCCACAAACAGTTGCAAGAAGGAGGAAATGCCATTTAAACTCAAAATACTTATAAATTATAAATAGAAAAAACAACATAAACCACACTGAAGCAATTAAGGGAACCAGGCAAGGTAAGGGCTTGAAGACATCCCCAGATATTGGAATATACACTGGGAAGGACACCAAACTCAGGTAAGAACGGACAGACTAAAAATATTTTCACACTTTGTTTCCAGCACTGGCTCATGCGCAGTCTGTCCTTTTAACCAGTTCTCACAGCTGCAGCCCATGAAGGGGATCAAGGCCATTTCCTCCCCTGTAGACCATGCCGTTCACGTTTCTCCCTTATTTTCTCCTCCTTGAGTGCCCTAGGATGGAGAAGGGATGGGCTTGGGTCCTTCTCTGACTGCCCAGCCGGCCTGTGCCCTTCCCCAGCTTCCTCCACAACCTCCGGAGCCACACTTCCACTCCCTGTTAGCTGTTCCTCCTCTTCCTCAGAGTCAGTTTCCAACAGGTGCATGACACTTACGTAGTAAAAGTTGGAAGAGGGTTCATTCCAATCAGGGGTGGTAGATTTAAAGGGACTTAAGCCACCCTGACGTCTAAAGGAGGACTAGGACTTTCCAAGTTTACGTTACCTTCCTTGGTTACGTTACCTCTCGGCCAAGATATGAGCTCCCGCTCTCAAAAATGATGGCAGTATAATGCTGATTGGGTTTATTGAAAAGGGAAAATACTTCTTCTGGCCTATTAAGAACAAATAAGAACGATTAAGAAAAATGAATGAAGGATACATCTACCACACGAGAGATAAAGGTAAGAAGACATTTACTGATAATATCTGTGGCTTATCTACAAGTGTTTTCAACTCATATGGTCTAGCAGCAGAAATTAAGAAAAGGCTTCTTACGGAGTTTGCTGCTAAAAAAAAATCATTTCTGGGGCTTTTATTCATAATTGTTTATGCAGCTTTCGTTGGGAGAATCATCATCTTGAGAAGCAGGAAATTAATAATTGTCATAAACAAACAGCAAAATAGATCTTGAAATGGGTTATTTGGCTTTCTGAGTGCGCCAAGACATGCTGCTGTATTTGTAACGGCCCTGCTGTTGTTGTTTTTTACAGGGCCCCCTCATTTCCACCCTAAAATGCTCCTTTATTGCTCCTCCTCTGATGCCTCATGGAGGGACTCACAGAGTTGGCTCCAAAGACGGACAAGCTGGCGGTTTTGCTTCCCGGGAATGGTTCTGCAGAAAATCAATCATTGTTTGGCGGAGGCTCTGAAGGTCCCGATCTGAGGTTGCTGAGGAAAGAGAAAAAGATGGCACTCAAGCAGGCAATCCCGAAAAAGGAACCTTCCTTGGCATCTGCCAAAGCTCTTCAACTCGTCCCTCCTGCCAACGTCCACTGATCCAACGGTTTTTTTTTTTGCAAGACACGGCAGGAAAGGACCAGGGCTCCGAAGTGCACTCTTCAAGGAAAAAGCCTCTCCAAGTAGTTTCACTTATGACCACTTGTTTAGTGACCGCCACTGAAAAGAATGACTTAGGGTTGCTTTTCACACTGACAACGGTTGGAGCAGCCCCTGTAATGCCGTGATCAAAATTTGGAACACTTTGGCAACTGGCTCATATTTATGATGGTTGCGGCACCCCAGAGATCACGCGGGGTCCCCCTTCTGCAACCTTCTGACCAGCCAAGTCAATGGGGAAGCCAGGTTCACTTAACAACCGTGTGGCTAACTGAACAACTGTACGGAATCACTTAACGGCAGGTCGTAAAAGGGGGCAAAACTGACTTAACGGCAGTCTTGCTTCACAATGGATATTTTGGGTTCAGTTTGGGTCCTAAGCTGAGGACTGCCTTTAATATCTTCCAAGTTAGGGATGCCAGCCTGCAGCCTGTGACCTTGCTTCAACCCTCTTTTCATGACTGACTTGGCTGACCACGGCTGCTGCTGCTGCACAGAATGTGCTCCGTGCCCTTAAGGGCATTTGTCTTTCGGATTAAGACGCAGCGTGGCTGGGAGTGATCTTCAAGGAGAACGGGAGACTGCATGTGAACTCACCGGGATGATTTTCTCCAACTGTAAACTGCTTGACAAAAGCTTTGAAATACTGCAAAGGGAGGGGAGGGGGAGGGAGAAAAGAAAAGATTTTGCTTAGAACAGCCCAAATTAATAAAACCCCGAAGGTAGAACAGTCCAACTCTAAAAATAATCCAAGAGTTATCTAAGGAAATCTCTTGTCAGTCACATCCACCTGACCCATGAGAGCGAGGAGGCAGGGAACGTTGCGGGTCCCACCCCTGAGGGAGATACACCTGGTGGGACCCAGAAGAAAGGGCCTTCTCCGTGGTGGCTCCGTCTCTCTGGAACATCATCCCCCCAGAGATTAGAATGGCCCCCTCACTAATACTCTTTCGAAAGGCACTGAAGACCTGGTTTTGCCAGCAGGCCCACGGAACCCAAAGAGGGATGGAGTCCATCAAATGGCCAGTCTGATCTGCTGTCGTTGGGGCGGGAGGATGGGAGTTGGTTTTTGATTTTTTTTGTTTTTCCCAAATTTTGTTCTATTGTACTTTACCAATTTATTTGATTCTTTTTGTTAGTTTTTATTGTTTTTATTTTTGTTTTAAATATGGTTTTACATTGTGTAAGCCGCCCGGAGTCGCCATGGGCGAATAGGCGGCAATATAAATTAAATAAATAAATAATCACCCGCGTGTTTTAAAAGCTCTGCCCCCCCCCCAAAAATAAGACGCTAACAGAGAAGTGCAGAGCGACTCAGATTTGAAGAGGGAAGGAACACCCCACTTCCGGATTAAAATTTCCACAGGAAATCCTTCCCCACGCATTTCAAACTACGTGGGGCCCAATCGAACGACAACCATTCCTAGGAAGCGGGAAAGCACTTACCCTGAAAGTGGGATAATACTGGACTCCGTACTCTTTACACTGTTTGTAGTTTTTCTCATCTCCACAATCCAGCACGCCAATTCTGATCGCTGGCTCCCACTCTGAAAGGAAACAAGGGGTCAGATTCTTTCATTTGGGCACAGAATGTATACACCCCCACAATTCCAAGGTTCTCGACATCCGGGAACACACACATTTTGGCCAAGACACACAAGGAATTTGTCTCCTCCGGTGCAAGGCAAAAAAGGAGCGAGGGTGGCCCCAAACACCAAGACAGAAATCTAATGACGATGCTCAGTTAAGAACTAATTTTAATGCACAAAATGTGGAAAGTTGGCTTTCGTTTGAAATAAACAGTTTTAAAAAGAACCGGTTGTGGACAAGAGGACCATTCTTGTTCTTTAACAAGCACGAGTCTGCCAGAGGGAAAGACAAAATAAGCATATTTGCTTCTCTTCTGAAAACCCTGGGAAATAAAGCCCACCCTAAAAAGAAATGCAGGGGGGGGGGGAGAAAAACTTAGAAGCATCATTTATTTATCAAATTTATACAGCCTTCCATCTCGCCAGAAGTGACTTAATACCCCAAGCCAGATGTTTCCTTGCAGGGCTGCAAAAAAATCCACCTTCTCTTTGTTTACTTATTAAACAGATGCGGCGGTGTTTAGGAACAGGATGCAAATGGCCATTGTAAGTGGGACGCTATCAACGCAATAGGCGCCAGGATAACCATCAGCATCTTCGAACAGATGGGCAAAGGCACAATAGTGAGCAAGCTACTTTGCCACTGAATAAAACCACAAGCTTGAAAACGTTTGGTTTGGCTTCGGGTTATCTGCTTCATTCATGATTCGGCACTGCTGTTCTTCTCTTCTTCTCCCCCCCTTACTCCACCTCGCCCCCACCCTCCCCCCATCTCCAGCCCTACAACTGCAATGAAGTGAGCCTTACAAAGGACGTGCAAATGTTGTCTTTTTTCACAATGCAAGCCAGCCTCAACCCAAACACTTGGTTAAGTGCGCCAGCTGGGAGGAGGGTCTGGGCCATTCACAAAAGGCAGCCTCAGAGGGGGGAAGGGAAGGAAAACTTGGCTTGCCACAAGGTCACAAAAGGAGATCACGTGACTCCTCGGGACACCACAACTATCGTAAATCCATGCCAGTTTCCAAGCCTCTGAATTTTGATCACGTGACCAGCTGCAATGGCTGTAAGTGTGAAAAACTAAAAAAATCACTTTTTTCAGTGTCGTTATAACTTCGAATGATCACTAAACATATGGCTCTAAGTCAAGAACTACTTCTTTGTACTGCTTCTTTGCTTCATCACTACCAGTTTCAATTGTAAGAAAGCAAACTGACAATATAAGAAATTATCAATTGGTTCATTAACATCTCCTGGCACGATAACCGTATTCAGCATTCAAGGAGTAGTTTAATTATCAAGACAACATTTTGCTTAGAGACTCCATGAATGAAAACATGAGACAGATTTTTCCTGTATATTATTCCTGCTAATATTCCTACACATTTCAAGCATCAAAAAGAACAGTACAAGGACGAGTGGTTAAGTGAGACTTTGTTAAGACATCAGGACATATGTTTTCACAAGCACCGATCACTTTTATTTGAGCGCTAAATTAACAATCTCTTTTCTGCAAATCTCATTGGAGGCCTCAACAAACTCTGCTGGACTTCTTTTGAAGTAGACGTGTGAATGATTATACTAGACAGAGAACCAGGAAATACTTCCATTTAAAAACTGACAGGTCCGGCACTCGCGCACTGCTTTGCGGGGATACACTCTCCACTGTTTAACATCTACATGAAGCTGCTGAGTGAGATCATCCGTCACCACGGACCAATACGCCGACGATACCCAGCTGTCCATCTCAGGCCGTGGGGAGTTAAACAATGCCGTGACCTCCCTCTCCTTGCAGTGCCTGGAGGCTGCCAGGGGCTGGATGGGGAGCAACGGGTTGAAAACTGAACCCTGGCAAGACCCAGTGGCTCTGGGTTTGGGGTTCTTTGCTGGCTTGGGAATTTTGGGAATTCAAGTCCACTCTACAGTTTATTTATTTTTTTATTTTTTTATTTGATTTGCCAATTGTTTACAAGATAATAAGTATAAGTGTATACATAGTTGTGAATACATGAAATGGGTACATATAAGAAAAATAAAAGAAGAATAAGAGAAACAATAGGACAGGGACGGTAGGCACGGTTGGTGCGCTTATGCACGCCCCCTACAGACCTCTTAGGAAAGGGGTGAGGTCAATAGTAGACAGTCTAAGGTTAAAGTTTTTGGGGTTTGGGGAAGAAACTACAGAGTCGGGTAGAGTATTCCAGACATTGACCACTCTATTGCTGAAGTCGTATTTCCTGCAATCAAGTTTGGTGCGGTTAACTTTGAGTTTGTATCTATTGTGTGCTCTTGTGTTGTTATGGTTGAAGCTGAAGTATTCATTGACAGGTAGGACATTGCAATGTATGATTTTATATACCATGCTTAAATCAGACCGAAGACGGCGTAATTCAAGGTTTTCTAGTTGCTGAGGTTGAGAAATAAATACTGCGTAGGCTACTTACTGACTTCAAGAGGCAGCTTCCTACGCTCTTGCTTTGCACTAGGCAACTCTTTTAAGCAAAAGTGCCTGCCGAGCCAGAAGAACCAGCTGCTAAATTCCAAACATTTCAAAATTTCCCGATTTTTTTTTCCATTGTGCAAGTTCCAAAGCTTGCCATGCCAAATATATTATGTCCTCTCAAAGTCTTCTGTTTGCTCTCTTTAAGCCACCGCAAACTAGAGGAAACGTGTCACGCTGCTGTGTAAAAGCACACAAATGTCCTAACTCAGCTGAACTTGCACAAAAGAAACCACACTGCTTCTTGACACCTTCCCTTGGAACGTTGGGAAAATACGCCACTTTTCTCAGCTGCTGAGATACTATCTCACACCGACACTGTTCTTCGTTTCTCATTGAACAAAAGGCACTTAAGCTGTAATTCAGCCCATAAAATATTTGCAGGCAAAGTTTCTTTGATGGGTAATATTCAATAATAAAAAAATAAGTACATGCCCTCCTTTGGAAGGTACTTTTTCAACGACACAAGAATACTAGAACTGAACTTGCAACTCAACCAAAATATGCAAAATAAGAGTAAGATCATCCTGGAAAAAGTCTATCTATGGAGCTGCTAAGAATAGACACTGATTTGATGGTGCATAGTCAATCAATCAAGTGAAGAGTATGGGAGCCTTCAGAACTTGTTGGATTACAAGTCCCAGCAGCCTCAGCCAGAACTGTCAATGGTGAGGACCCTGGGACTTGTAGTTCAGCTGTCTTAAGACATGTACATGTTCCTCACTTCCAACTCTCCCTGATAAGGAAGCAGAACCTCCTCTTACCTCAAGTCCATAACTTTCAACCTTGCCCGATGCCAACCAGGAGTCAATCAGCCCATTGATCCACCCAGATCTCTGGTCCTCAATTGTATCAGGAGATCTTTGAAAAGGGGGGGATCTGAAGGATCTGCTCCACTGCTTCCCAGGGTCCTTACCCATCCGTGGAGGTAAGATCTAGCCTAGAGATCTAGCCACAGCAGAAGCTGCGGAGCATCCTTCTGCAGATCCAGCAGAGGAGAGGGCTTTTTAATCCCACCACTCTCTCCAATTGGGAGAAGGATGGGAATTGTGCGGGGTGTGTGTGTGTCCCCCATTTCTGGAGGGCAGCCAAAGGCAGATTGCCTGAAGAGACTGGAGCATTCAGCCCTTAAAAATCCAGAGCTGCAACCTGCAAACTCTCTCTGTGTGTTTGCAAATGATCTTCCTTCTTGGGCAAAGGGCTGTTAAGTTCTCCATGGGGTCCGGAACCGCCAGAAGGAAGGCCGAAGTGGGGGGGGGGTCAAGGAAGCCATCCAAGAAACCGGGGTGCAGAATTGCCCAACGTGCCAGGGTCACCCCGCAATTCAAACTCTTGCAAACCAAGTTGCCTCCTCCTCAGCCCTGCTTCCCCAACCGGGCGCCCTCAAAGGCGATGCCCTCCCTCCCTTCCTTCCCTCTCCGGCTGGGGATGATGGGACGGAGGGAGGGCGCTGGGTCGGGCAAGGGGGGGGGGGAACCCTTCCCCAAGGGGGGGGCCGGGGGGGGGGGGGGTATTTGGACTTCCTCTCCCATCATTCCCGGCTCACCGTGGACGTCCCCCGCCAAGGCGCGCCAGGTGGGCGCGAAGGCCACGCAGTGTCCGCAGGACGAGGAGTAGAACTGCACCAGCCAGGCCGAAGCCGAGTCCCGCAGCGCCTCCCGCACCGTGCCGCCTTCCAGCACCCACACCGGGTGTAGCCCGGCCTGGTACAGCGCCGCCCCGGTCGTCGTCGTCGGCGCCGCCATCGCCAGCAACGCCAAGAGGCATCGCAGCGCCCGCCGCGGCTCGAGAGGTGCCGGGCGGGAACCCACC